ATTTGTAGGCATTTCTAAGGTCCCCTCTCAGCCTTCTTTTCTCCAGGCTGAACAAGCCCAGCTCCCTCAGCCTCTCCTCGCAGGAGAGATGCGCCAGTCCCCTCCTCATCCTCGTAGCCCTCCGCTGGACTCTCTCCAGTAGCTCCTCTTCTTTCTTGAACTGGGGAGCCCAGAACTGGACACAGCACTCCGGCTCCCGGGCAGGGTTTGCAGGCTTGCCCTTTGCTGGGCCGTGGCTGTGGTGCCCGCTGCAGCCCCGAGTGCAGCCCTTGCCGAGGGCCTGTTGCAGAGGATGCGGAGATGGAAAACGGATCCGCGCTTCAGCCCACCTCAGAATTGCTCTGCTCTGTGCTGCTTTGTACAGCTCTTGAACCACTTCAAAACCAAACGAAGCAGCGATCGCTGCGGCATTTTGGGCTGCCTCTCCGGCCCTCTCCTCCCTTTCAGCCCAGGTTTTTCTCAGAGGAGGAAGGCGATGCCCACCCATTCCCTGGGAGGGGACCTGTAGAGGACCCGAGCCAGCGGCAGGGGGTTTGGAACAGGAGCGAGCCTTGCTTAGCAGCCTGGATTGGTTTTAAACAGATTACTTTGGTTTATGTAGATATCTAGATATTTGTACCAAAGATTCCCATGGGTTACCACTTTAACAGGTTTCAAGAGTATTAAATTAACGTGAAGGGAAAAATATATGTAGTTGAGAAACAGAAGGAATGCTGTCCTCTTAAATTTCTTCCCATTCTTGCTATTTACGGGTCCTTTAAATCAAGACTTGGTGCCCTTAATTATGTCATATGTAATTGTTGGCCTCAGCCTAATATTACGTTATTGAATCCAAGAATGACATGAAAAAAAGATGCATGCAGCTAGCGTACTGTTTGCAGAGTGAGGACAGCCTGATCAGAAACCCTCCTGGGAAAAAATTCATGTCAGGGACTGAAACAGACCCTTCTGGTTTTTTTTCCTCCCCCCCCAGCAACACAAGGTATCAAAAAATGAGCCCGATGAAAAGGACAACATTTCTCTCGCTTTCCTTCATCTGATCTTTCTGTAGCCCAGAGTGCTAATCAGCCTGTCAGTCTCTAATTGAAGAGCAGCAGTGTCAGGCAGAAGAGAGCCCCGCTCGCTGAATGCTAACGAGTACAGGGGATGCTGTGCCCGGCAGTGACAGCCGAGAGCCCTGTCAGGAGGTTGCTCAGGGGAGCGGGTCCACGGGGCTGTGGAGTGGTGCTGAGCCTGGGACAGCATCTGCTCGGGGCTTGCTCGTGGTGAGAAGGAGCGGGGCAGCCCGGGGCTGTAACGTACTGCAGCGCGCAGTGCCGTGCCCACCCTCGTTATGTTGGTGCTCCCAACAGCACTTCTTTCACGACGCTAGCAAAAAGCCTTTGGTTCCTCCCAGCTCCTCGCTGCAGAAGGTGATGGCCACCTATAGCCCAGCTGGGGGGCTGGTGGTCGACAGCTTGCGGAAGCAGCGGCAGAAGAGCCGACCCTCTGCTGCAGCCGTCGGGATTCGCCCTGGGACTTCACATGTCGTGCTAGCGCTGGCAAGCTCGAGGGAGCATGAAGCACGCGTCCTGCCGAGATCTGGGTGACCTTCTGGTCCCATTACTGCATGCTGAGTAGCTGGACTCTGCCTGTGACTGCGAAAAGAGAGGAGGAGTCAGCGTGCCTTTTGGTGCCCTTGGTGTGTAGCAGGACGCACGGTGAAAGCCCTGGGTGCAGGCTGGGGAGGGCTGGGGTTTTTCATTGTAGGCTTGTAGGATAGCTCAGGTTGGAAGAGACCTCGGGATGTCATCTAGTCTTCCCTTGGCCATTTGGCCGCTGTGCTCTGCTGAAGGCAGTAGGACATCTGCCACTTCAGAGTAACTAACGCTTCATCCTCTTCCTTTTCTAGCAGTATTCCTCTCAGCTTACACAAGGAGGTAGATGATCCAACCTCTCTAGGGGTTGCTTGGAAAAAAGTGGAAAAGGAAAAGAAACCTTTTTCCTGGTTTTGTATAGGATTGGAGGGATCCAGGCCTAGGGCTGGCTTTAGAGCAGGACTGGGAGAGGCGTTGCGGAATGGGTCAGGCCCCAGTGTCGAGGCGTGCCGGGGTGGTCACGTTAGCGGTGGAGGAGAAGAGCAAACGCTTTCCCCCTTGCCTGCCACCCTGCAGCAGCCCCTGGGAGCCCTCCCGGTGGGGACACTCCGCCAGCAGGAGACAGTTCAGGCTGTGCAAGGAGGTGGTGTAACTGTGTCGGGGAAAAAATGCCTTTCGAGGTCCATTGCGTCTGCTCGAGGAGGCTCCGGCGGTGCGACCGCGCTGGGGTGTTGCTCTTGCAGCCGAGGGCTTGAGGAACCGGCAGGGCCGTGGAGATGCCGCTCGTGGGGGCTGAAGCTGGCCAGCAGTGTGCTAGTCCAAAGCTATTTGCAATATGTATTTCTAAATTTGCTAACCCAGCTTTGGAAATCATCTATTTCTAGCCTATAGACTGTACATATAAATTGTTTTCCCAACATAAAAAATGCAATACAAACCCTATCATTTCAGATCCGAGTTTTTTTTTGTTTGTGTTGCTTGCAGGGACTACACAGTTTGGATTCAGCTAATCAAGTAGAAGTGTTTACAGTGTCCTCTCTGTGTCCTCAGGCTGGAGATGCTACCACAGGGGTAAAAGACAAAACTGGCTTTCTATTTTTAGCAGCCAGCCTCTTCTCGGCTCACCCCTTCTCATGACAGCTCCCATCAGCTTGTAGGAATCTTCTTCATATAAGCTCACGTTCAGCCAGGAAAGCCCACCATTTCTGGAGTGGTTTCTTCAGAGGCTTCTTGTTCAAGGGCTTGCGTACACCGAGCTGTCGCAGCAGCGCGCAGGTCACAGAATCCCAGAATGGTGGGGGTTGGAAGGAACCTCTGTGGGTCACCCAGCCCAACCTCTGTGGGTCACCCAGAGCAGGCTGCACAGCACCGTGTCCAGGCGGGTCTGGAATATCTCTAGAGAAGGAGAACCCACAACCCCCTGGGCAGCCTGGGCCAGGGCTCCGTCACCCTCAGAGGGAAGAAGTTCTTCCTCGTGTTCAGCTGGAGCTTCCTCTGCTTCAGTTTGTGCCCGTTGCTCCTTGTTCTGTCGCTGGGCACCACTAGAAAGGTCCCCGGATGCTGGCCAGGAGGTGCCAGGGCTGGAATTGGACCCTGACACCGCGCTGCTGAGAAGTTGCACGATGCGCAGCCCATCCCTGCTGGGGATGACCCTCTGTGTTCCTGGGAAGTTCTCCCCAATGAGGCCTTCAGCTCCCACAGTGACGGAAGCGAGATGGATACACACCTCGCTAAGGCGAACTGCAAGTCTGTACTGCAGCATGATGATGCAGCGACTTAATGAAGCTGCTGTTGTCACAGGGCCCAGGGACTCAGGCAGTCGCTTCCAATCAACGCTGAGAGGTTAATTACGCATTTACCTGAACTGCAGCCTGAAATCCTCCCCAAGAAATCAGGAGTGGGGGTGACTCTTGGTTGCTTTGGCACCTCCAAGTGTAAGTGCTGCCAGAAAAGGGTGCCTAGCTAGATGCCCCCAATAGCTGGCTGAGCCCTTGCAAGCTGGTTGCCGAGATTTTGGGATGGTCTTGTCCCAGAAATTGGTTCTAGTTTGACATCAAAGCCAGAACTGCACCAGTTTCAGAGCCAAAAAGGAAAAAAAAAAAAAAAAAAACAAGCTTTTCTTTCTCTTGCTCCTCACCTTTTAGCTGAAGTCATCCTCATCCCTTCTGTGATGTTGCAGTGAGAGGCACACGGAGATGCCCACAGGGCAGGTGGTGGTGAATTCACCCATTTTTAATAAATAGATTTTAATTAACTTTTGAAAAAGTCCAGCTCATCCCAATTAGTGGAGGGTGACTGCATTTGTTCTCTTTGAGAGTGGGAGAGAGCGCGCTGTTTTTTCAAGACCATCTGCTCATGAATCCCCAAAAAAAAATCGGAGAGGAAAACAAGCGCTAGCTGGAGGCAGAGAAAGGGTGAGGGCATTCTGGCAGCTGGGAGGGGAGGCCTCGCCAGCTGGGGGGGACAGAGACTGCCGGAGGAGCTGGGGTGGTCCTGACAGTTTTTTGGAGATGGGGAGCTCTAATGAGCTGTGGGAGAAGGGACTGTAATTGCCTGAATGAGTGGGAAGAGAGGCAACGATCTGGAGGGATGGGTTTTGGCAGCCTCACGGGTGGGGGAACTGAGACCCCAGTGCAGATGACTTTGGTCGGTGGCCTGAGATTTCAGGAGGGGACGCGCTTTGGGGTGCTGTTTTAAAGGGGCAGGGGTGCCAGGGAGGTTTGTTACCCTGAATACAAAGTGGCTCTGTCGTGGGCAGGAGGAAGGGGCTTCACGCTTCGGATGCCAGCAGCACCTGCAGCGAGGTCCAGGGGCTGGGGGGACCTGGGGGGGGGGCAACAGGGGCGGGGG